CATGTTAATGAAAAAATAGTTTTATACGTCTATACACAAAACTAAACTCGTAAGTGTAGAAATAATTGGCTAAGAAAATACCTTTAAATAAATGCCTAGAGCTTTTTAATTAGAAGTTACTGCACTGCTTTTCAAAAAAAAATCTGAGTTTATAAACTTTTCTAATTAGAGGCTATAAAATCAAACAATTTAAAGATAAAATGATTCATTTTTGTGTTCAACATAAACACAAATCACATAATCATTTATTTACCATATTGAAGTATTTTAAATTTTAAGTTAGTGTAATCTCTGGATGAAGGAGAGGTATGTATATGTTTGATATAAATTCATTCATCATAAGCTATCTATCAGGTGCCCTATACTGTGACTTGTTATATCAGACTCTGAGATGCATAGACAATAAGAAAAGCAGGTGTGCTACTTTCATATTTGTGTTTCTGAGTATTAAGATATATAGAGAAAGAAATAATTGTTTGTGGTTACATTCATTATGTCTGAAAAAATGTAAATGTAGTTTCAGCAAGTCAAGTAGAAGTTGATGGAGTGAGTTAAGGAATCCCATGCACAAATCTATTCTTCGAGGTAGAGACAGGCTGAAAAGAAGACCGGTAAATATGGGCAGAGTAGATGTCCAAATGCTCAGTTTGGTTCTTTGTAAACTTGATCAAATCCTTTCTTTTGTCTGGTTTTCAATTTCTTATTTCTAAAATGAGTAGTAGGACTAAATCTTTTAAGGCCCCTTCCAATGCTTTATATTGGATATTAGATGACTAGGATAGAGAGTTTTCTTTTTTTTTTTTTTTTCTTCTTTTTTTTTTGAGTTGGAGTCTCACTCTGTCGCCCAGACTGGAGGGCAGTGGCCGCTCCCGGCCACCGCAGCCTCGACCTGCTGGGCTCCGGCGATCCTTCCGCCTCAGCCTTCCCAGTAGCCGGAATTACAGGCATGCGCTACCACGCCCGGCTGATTTTTTGATTTATTGTAGAGATGAAGTCTCGCTGCCCAGGCGGGTCTCGAACCCGCGGGCTCAGACAATCCACTCACCTCAGCCTCCCAAAGGCGCGGGATTACAGGCTGAGCCACCGAGCCCGGCTGGATAGAGAGTTTTCATTCTCACTCCATATCGTATAGTTTGTATGCTAAAGGACGGATCTCAATGTATACATCTAGATGTTTTAAGCGCTGGGATTAAAACCAGAGCTATAGGCTAGAATTTTTCTTTGGTGCAACACCAATCAAGCAGTATTTTTATTCAGGAGTCTACCAAAATGTTACTTACCACTGCACTCCAATCAAAATAGATAAATCTAGATATAGCAGCAAAATAATAGATAAATAGATAAAAGCATAATAGTGAAAACAAAACTTGACAATGGTACCGCTGATAACTTAAAAAGTAAAAATGGACTTTCTTCTATGATGCTTAATACTGTGGCTTTGGAGACATGCTGTAGGAGGAGTCTCTAGTTCAGGCCATGGGTCTTGAGTTCGTATTTTCAGATCCTGAAGGAAAAAGAAGTCACATACAATCTTAGGGACTGCAAATGAGAGCTTTACTTACAGACAGTAGAAGCTTGGGACAAGAAGCCTAATAAGGCAATGAAAGGCAGGAAGGGAAAATGAGTTCTTACCGGTGTGAGTAGGAAAAAAATGGGTAGCTTTATGATTCACTTATGGATATGAAAATAAGTCCTAGCCGGGCTCGGTGGCTCAGCCGGTAATCCCGCGCGTTTGGGAGGCTGAGCTGAGTGGATTGCCTGAGCCCGCGGGTTCGAGACCCGACTGGGCCACTTGGCGAGACCTCATCTCTACAATAAATCAAAAAATCAGCCGGGCGTGGGAGCGCGCGCCTGTAATTCCGGCTACTTGGAAGGCTGAGGCGGAAGGATCGTCGGAGCCCAGCCCGTCGAGGCTGCGGGGGCCGGGAGCGGCCACTGCACTCCGGTCGGGGCGACAGAGTGAGACTCCAATTCAAAAAAAAAAAAAAAAAAACTGAAAATAAGGCCTTTTCATTTTTCACATCTCTGATGAATGTGGCTAGCGTGGGATGACTGGCCAACCATGGGTTTGAAATGCAACTGGCATGACTTCTCAGTGCCCGGAGGGAAAAGGAGTAAATGTAAGCATTTAGGAAGGAAATCAAGCCAACCTAGGCTTACCTGTGCCTTTATCTTAAAGCAAATAATTGAAAATAAGGAGGAAACCAACACAGAGAAAAGCATGGGCATAGAGGATGGATCTGGAAGCTTTGCTAGGCCTGAAGAGCAGAACTGTAGCTGCCATATTTCATTCAGTAACCCACACTTCCAAAATGTCCAGGCTCATCACTTGTAGTAATAAAAGGACCAGCAAATTATTTTATTAAATCATACAATCACAAGAAATCCAACAAAATGGAACAGAAATATTGTTTCCTATCTGTGTCCTTCGTTAAATTGCCGTAATCTTCTAGACATGGCATTTCTAAAACTTTAGAAATATGCCTGCCACATTCTAAAGCTCTTGGTGAGTGTTACTTTCTCTTCATCTTCTTGCTTTTTCTTCATGCCCGATGTTTTGCTGAGGACAGTAAGATGTTGTCTTCACATTCAAGAGAAAAAGAAATTTAGAAGAATTCAAAGTTTGATTTTGGATAGCCAATCTAATACATATGAAATTTTTTTGTCCATTCCTTAGCTTATTTGTCTAAATGAAAGCATATATGGAAGATGGATATATCATCTGCTTGATTCTCTGAATGATTTATTGACATAATTATTTAAATTATAGTCTTTCTATTTGCTCACTAAAAATATAAAATGTGAGCCTTCATTTATATTTTGGGTACTTGAAAAGAAAAATAAATAAAATCTCACTATGACAGTTTTTGAATTCAAAGAAAATTACAGTTTCTCTTTTCTTAATTGAGAATACTCAGAGAAGCAAGATGCTTATGCACACACTTTGAAATTATCACCTGAAGCAGTAACTATTAAGCTGTCTTGTCAAGTGCTGCTTGGCTTGCATTTTTAATAATATTTGTGATACCTTGGACTTTGTAGAGACAAAGACTATGAATTGCTTGGCCCTTGCTATTTTGAAAAATGCTGCCTTTCTGCTTGCTTTTACTTGCTAGCAGTATCCTACTGGAATGTATGATATAGAAATAGATTTTCTATTGAAATAACTGATTCAAGGCAAAGAACTTAAATTCATTTTTTTTAAATATCGAAAGACTATCATAAAATAAGTATTTAAAATAGAAATAAGGTAGCAATTTGATTTCCTTTTTATAGATAGAGAAGAACTTTCTGATGCTTTTTTCCCCTTTACTAATTCAATATGTATTTAGTTAATCTTGTTACAGTAAATTGATAATTCTTACCATTTCCATCTGGTTAACTAGGTGTTCTTTTGCGTGAACTATTAATCATGACATCCAGGAGCCATTTATAATAAAGAGATTGATGCCTAACTCACTTGGGGAAGAAATGTAAGTGGTTTAAAGGCAGACTGCCGAAATAGAAAGCTGGTTTAGAATATCAGGGGCTAAATGGGGTTTATATACATTCTGAGAGAGGACCAAAAAAAAGGAGATTAAATGAAAGAACTGAGGCTTTGCATAACACCATCATGTGAAAGTTGTTAGGCAAGATAAAATCTTGATGTCACTCTCTTTTGAATTTAAGGAACTCAGCAGTTTTACCTCATTAGCACCTTTTACTTACTCTGATGGCAGCTAAACTTTTGAGAGGGGCCATCTCAGGTATAGGATTCATTTGCATCCCCTATGCCCTCACCTTTTTCACATCTTTGCTAGATGAAAAAATTCAAGAAATAATGTTACATTTAACTTTGTGTTGTAATAAATGAGAGCCTATGAAGTTTATTCTCTATAATACTTAATATTCAAAATCACACAGTCTGGATTCAGTGACATTTGGCATGGTTCCATTGCTCAATGTGTTTCAGGGGAATTTTAATGATTAAAAAATTATATAGTTATTGTACACACAGATTCTATATAGGTTTAAGAAACTTCTTAAGCTGTAATGACATTTTTATGGAGAAGAAATTTTCATTCCATACTGTTCAGGAAGTGGTTATGGTACCCTGAGACTCTCAAAACTGAAGTATTTTACTAGGAAAGAGTTAGGTTTATATTTCTTTTTTGAAGAAATGATATTTTGAAAGCCATATAAACCATACTTAATGTTTGAGGCCTGTATACCTTCAGAACTCTTAAGATCATAATACAGAAAATAATTCACAAGTTTTTTAAAAAAGAATTAATGTGGTCCCAGGATATAACAAGAATTAATACTCAAAATGATAAGACAATTTATATTACTAATCTATAATTTGTCTCTATTTTATGTCTATATGCTTATATCTACAGATATGATATATAAATTAATATTTAGCTATCTAATTTATAAAAGAGTCCTGGATATAGGAGCTCAATGAAATAAACATTTATTATTAATTTTAAACCAATGAATTTTCTTTCTGCTTTTATTACAGTACTGTGCTATTTGTGCATGAAAACAATTAAATAAATGGCTATGCTTTCACATTATGGTTTTCTCCTTTCTATTCCACATTTACTGTACTTTTTTCTCATTCCTTTCAAATTTTGTCTACCTTATTTATTTATGTACTTATCTTAATTCTAGATATATTTTTCTTCTCTGCTTCTTCTTGTTAGCATTACCCAGATTTAATTTTTATTTTTAATCGTGTTTATTTTTTCTGGGGTATATTCTGATATGTTTATTATTTAGTTCTGTTGGAGAAATTAAATAATAAATCCTTAATTTAATTAATTTTAAAAGGGAATTTAAAATGTTTGTTATTATCTTCTCCTAATACTTCATAACAAGCTTTTTTTCTAGATACTACAGGGTGAGGCTACAGACATTTCTATATCTGAAATATTTTTATTTTATGATCTTTGCTACCTTTTCTGGTTATTTTCTATTTTTTGAGTGTTTTAATCTTTTTATTTTATATTGTGCAGTGGGAAGAGATTGGTGAAGTTGATGAAAATTATGCCCCTATCCACACATACCAAGTATGCAAAGTTATGGAACAGAATCAGAATAACTGGCTTTTGACCAGCTGGATTTCCAACGAAGGTGCTTCCAGAATCTTCATAGAACTCAAATTTACTCTGCGGGACTGCAACAGCCTTCCTGGAGGACTGGGGACCTGTAAGGAAACTTTTAATATGTATTATTTTGAGTCAGATAATGAGAATGGGAGAAACATCAAGGAAAACCAGTACATCAAAATTGATACCATTGCTGCTGATGAAAGCTTCACAGAACTTGATCTCGGTGACCGTGTTATGAAACTGAATACAGAGGTCAGAGATGTAGGACCTCTAAGCAAAAAGGGATTTTATCTTGCTTTTCAAGATGTCGGTGCTTGCATTGCTCTGGTTTCTGTGCGTGTATACTATAAAAAATGCCCTTCTGTGGTACGACACTTGGCTGTCTTCCCTGACACCATCACTGGAGCTGATTCTTCCCAGTTGCTTGAAGTGTCAGGCTCTTGTGTCAACCATTCTGTGACAGATGAACCTCCCAAAATGCACTGCAGCGCCGAAGGGGAGTGGCTGGTGCCCATCGGGAAATGCATGTGCAAGGCAGGATATGAAGAGAAAAATGGCACCTGTCAAGGTAAGAGTTTGCCTCCGGATCTGCAGGGGCTGTCTGCTTCAATTGGATCATGTATATGCATCTCCTTCCATGATTATGAGCAAATGACCTTTTACTTTGCTAATTTATGGAGATTATTTCTCTCAAGTTTGATTTCTCTCTTTTCAGAATTTTAAAATTTCTGGCAACCATGAAAGATTTAATGTAACATTTTATTGGGTATACATAATTAATACTCAGAGAGTGTCTGAATTGTAGTGTAATATTTCATATTCATTTTGCTTTCAAAAGTTTTAGTTTTGAACAATTTAAACTAAGGGACTAGTAACTTTCATTGTATTATTGTTGTCTACTGCTGCTATTTTCTCTCGTGAAGTTGTTTTCTATTCTTTAATTGATGTATAACATTTAAATGCAAAATCTTAAATGATATTGGGCATGTTTTTGACTGCCTTTTAAAAATTTTTTCAGAAACTAGGTTCAGCCATATGAACTTCACAGCAAAACATTTGTAAACTGACAGGATTAGTTTATTATGTTGTTTACATATGGTTGCTATTCCATGGTTGCTTTTTAAAATTTGCAAACCTTTAAATGTATAATGAGCAAGTGCCCCCTGAACATGACTTTGTGGAGACAGAGTCAATACAAAAGGTCATTTCGAAGCAATTTGCCCTTGGAGGGTTTTTGTTGTTGTTGTTCCTGTTTTAATGTTTCTTTTAAATTGAAACTGGATCATGCACGCTGCTTCATTCTGCATTGGAAAATGCCCTCATCTTGCCTACCTTGTGGTGAGTTGCATTATAGGACTTGGAGATTTATCAATGGCTTTCTGGAACAGGATAGTATTTTTTGCCAAAGTAAAGAACAGCTTATGGAAAAGAAAACAAACATTTTAAAAAATTATGCGCCCTTGTGATATTGAGCCTGTTTTTACCACGGTGTGCATGTACTAAACAGGTAACGAGAGTTAATTAGTACTCACTAAGAGGAAAATCAAAAGCTGAATATTCCCTGCATCCCACATAGTAGCTTCAGGTGCATTTTTCGCTCCTAAGTCCACGATACCACATAAATCAAACTTCCTCACTTATTCAGGCTTGGCTGTAGATTGATTATTGATCCAGGGAAACAAAACGAGGGAAATTACCTGTAAATTATAATGACTTTGGCTAATTATTTTCTCCAGAAACATATTGCACTTCACTTTTCTTTTTCAGCATCAGCTTCTATTTTGTATCTTTACAATACCATCTATAATTCTGCTGTTGTTTTTCCATGTAATCTGCAATCCTTTACAGGCCCATTGAATTTATATATATACACACATCTGAATGCGTTGTTAAATCAAAATTATGTCCCTAAAATGATTATAAGTTTATTGGGGAAATGAATCATAATTGTTCAGAATTGGAATTAAAAGAGAGTTCTAAGGAACATTATCTTAACTTTTTTTTCAGTTTTCTGATTAAGGTGAGGGTGTATATAACTGAAGGATCAGAAGCAGGAGTTATAAGCAATTCATTGAATACATTTTCTTCTAAAATATTGTAAATATAAATTTTAGTATTTTCAAACATTCATTTATGAGTATTTTAAAACATCATCCTCTATTTGATTGTTTATATCATTTTGCAGAATATGTGGATGCCTTAGTTAAAGATAATGACTTTTGTCTTTATTCTGATTGACAGAGATTAAAAGAGGCCTCTGCATGTCTAGAGGATACATTTTGATTGTTGATGAGTTTAAAATATTCTGCTGATAATTATCATGAAAATATCTTGGGGAGGCAGTGTTTTGACAGAATATTTTTTATTTTTTTTGAGTTGGAGTCTCACTCTTGTCGCCCAGGCTGGAGTGCAGTGGTACACTCACAGTCAGTGCAGCCTTGACCTGCTAGGCTTAAACGATCCTTCCACCTCAGTCTTCCAAGTAACTGAAACTACAGACGCACGCCTCCACGCCCGACTAGTTTTTGTGATTTATTATAGAGAGAAGGTCTCACCAAGTTGTCCAGGGTCTCAAACCTCTAGCCTCGGCCTCCCAAGTGCTGGGATTACAGGCTGAGCCACCAAGCCCAGCCGACAGAATGTTTTTTAATGCAGGTGCCCACACACATCTAGAGGGTCTAAGTGAGACAGTGGAATGAACTGGAGAGGTTACATGGTAGAAAACTTTACTATGCTGGACTCTGTCTTGATTCATGTATTTATTATCCTACCCTGGTAGTAGGAGCAGTGGTTGCAAGGGTCATGCCGTCTATAGAGTGCACAGGCCAGAGAACATTACACAGTGCAATCCTTATGAATAATGCCTCTTGGTGTTTTACAATGTATAAATGGTATGGGGCGGCTCTCTAGGAGAAATTGCAAGCGTTTATTTTATAAATAGTGTATCTAATTGAATGATTAACTAATTGAATGAATAAAGTTTTGAAGGTTTGCTTTGGAGAGTTAAAGTATCACAGATTGTTGAGACATGTCTAAACAAAACATGTATATATCAACATAAATGTGAGTGTGTGTGTGTAACATAAAATGTCATGATGACTTTCACCTATTTCATTATTTTAGCACACTAGTCTCAAAACCTTCAGTGGGGTTCTTGATGTTTTGGAAGTATCCTTGATAGGTAAAAAAATTAGGAGTCACACTTGACACTTCCTATTCACTACACAGTTCCAATTTGTCACAAAGTGTTTATAAAAATTACCAACCAACTCTCTCTCAAAGTCATCTACTTCTCTTTTTTCCCTCCAAACTACAAGCAAAACTTATTGGAATTTTATTTGCAAATATAATAAATAACTTGATATATAGTTTATATTTTTGTACCTGTGAATGTATTACCTATACAAAAATGCAAATCTTGTTATTTTACACACACATTACCCCTCCCCCAGCCACACACACACTTTATACACTTCAGTGGTTTCCTTTAAGACAAAGAAAGCTTTTAGAGTAGCCTAAGAAAACTGCATGGTTTTGCCCCAGTTATCTCTCCTGAGTCAGCTTAAACTGTGCTTCCTCCCCTTCCTTATGCACTAGCAAAGCTAGCTTTTTTCAGTTTCTCAAAGACAATTTACTCACTTTCACTACTTGTTCTTTTGTAACTCTGTTCTCTTCCCCTGGAATACGTCTACCTCCTTTATGCCTAATTAACTCATGCTAATCCTTCAGCTCTGTACTCCAATATCCCTTCTTTAAGCTGTCCGGACCATTTAAGAGTAGGCTAAGTCTCACTGTTATTGATTCCTATATCTTTCCTTCATAGAACCATTTAGACCTATTATTTTATACCTATTTGCTGATTTATTATCTGATTAAAGATTTTCCTACCCCCATTAGACTGTATACTTCTTGCTAGCAGATGTGATGTATGTTAACTTAAGGAATGGGAAAAACATCAAAAGGCAAGAGGAAGGGATAGTGACTTTCAAAAGAATGTACAAAAGTGTCAATGAATGTTGTGTTTTTCAATACCGTGTTTTGTTTATTTATTTTATCTGTGTGTTTATGTGTAGAAAACTTCTTTGATCTGAAAACTGTCAGATCTTTCAAATGGATTCTTTCTTAGTCCTAGGACTCTCAGGTCAAATTCTCAAGTTCCAGGTTTTAAATCATATGCAATTAGTACTTCATATGTTAATAGTTATAGAGGGCAACTTAGTGAATTTTGTAGAGCCCAAAACATCACACATTGAGATACAGTTATAATATGGCTTTATGAAGTAATGACATTTAGTTACTCAGTGTTTTTGATAACCAGACTATGTTAGAATTTAATTAAATAAATGATTATATTAGTATGCTTATGTTTGAATATTTCTGTGGTACTGATTATCATATACCTGGAAGGTGACCAGGTAGTTGTTGTCAGATCATGCTCTTGTGATCTGTAGTATATGTGCTGGGCTTGAGGCCTTTTCTAGACAAAATCTTCAGAATTCAGAATTTTGGGCAGCTTATTAACAGATGTCCTCAATTTAGAAGACAACCAAGCAATGAGTCAGGAGACTGCTCAATTTACCCATTTGTGATGTCAACTTCACACATATTCTTTTCATTAACTTTTAAGAGGAATAGACTACCTTAATTTAATAGTTTGATGAGGTAACAAAATACTCTGCTTTCTATTTTATTAGCTGCCGTTTCCAGACAACTTTTCTCTTTTAACTTCTAAGAGAAATAGACTACCTTATCTTAATAATTTGATGAGATAAAAAAATACTCTTTCTATTTTATTAACTTAAAGTATAGTGTATATTTGTTTTTCTAAGGCTTACTTTATGTGCCTAAACTTTTGATAATAATCTGCTTTATTTATAGTCTACAAATTTATTTCTTTGAAATGTTTTTTTATTTTCAGAAAAAAATAATGTTCTAAATCCAGTTACACAATTATGTTTCTGTTTGTTATTCATTATTATTTCTGATGAAATTCATGCTATTTTTTCTTCCTTAAGAGGCAAGTGAAATTTTTTTCTTTTGAGTAACAAACGGTTGGCAAAAACCCATTTTGAAAGTTTCTGCTTTTTATTGAAGTAAATGTGTTTGACAGAAGTAATTGAGTTCACATGAATCAAATGTTGCCTGCTGAGTTCTCTTGTGATTTTGTTGCTGACTTACTCAGATGCAAGGCAAGACCACTAATCTTCATCAGTTGCTAGTGGAATGAAGTAGTAATTTGAAATTAGCCCTAGATAATTATAGTTTCACTTATATCAAATGGAGGAAAGAGATTTAGATTGTGGGTCACTGCCAAAACCAGTCAGAGTGAAGAAGGTATATAGTACATGCTAAAATACAGCATGGGGGGGGTTACACGTCAAGAGCTGTGGAGAGAAAGCACTTATTAATTATCCAACTGGGAGATGATTGCACAGCAAGAAAAATGTAGCAAAAATACCCAACTCAAGAAAAAGCCTTGCTTCAGAAAGAGTACAGATACAGCAGGGAGTAGGATGTCTATCATTCATACTTCTGGTACATATTTATGATTGAAACAAAATTGGCTGG